GATGAAAGGGTTTTATTCATGGGTAGTGATAAGTAGGGCTGTAACTATGGTCGTATACTTAGAACCCCCATCTAGGGTACTTATAACCCTAAACCCTAAACCCTAAACCCCATATTTCGAATGTGGTAGCTTTTCCTGCTCAAGCTTTTGTGTGCCCCCCCGCGAACTCTCTCATCGCGGGGATCTCGTGCTTGCTTTCGCGATGTGTCTGGGAGGAATGGGAGGGAAAGGCGGGCGGGGGGGGTGGGATAGATTGGAAAATTAAACCTCAGGCTAAGCACAAGCATGGCCGCCAGGGTGCCGAAGGCCAAAATCTATGCGGGTGCGTGTTTGGACGTGTGTGCGCGTGCGTGTTTGCGAGGAGTGGACAGCCGCACAGTGGAAGAAGTATGAGTGCCCGAACGTTCTGGTCTGAGAGGGTTGGGAGATGGGTGGTGAAGGGGGTGGGAAGGAAGAAATGGGGACGAGATGAGATGTGGTTGTACTCGTTCGCTGAGTTTGAAAAATGTGGCTCCTACAAGACGGTCCTGAAAGACAACCTCTGCGTTTACTGTGCGGAGATCCTAATTTCGTGCTGTTCGTTGTGTGTTGGTTTTTTTTAGGTGTGGAAACGTGAGTGAGTGCAGGCGAACCAGGTGCCGTGCATTGAGAGGAGAGAATGAAATTTGGGGCAGGGGGGGGGGAAGGAATTTATTTTCTCGTTGTTAAGGACGGATGTCCCAACATGCGCAGTGTCGGCACCGAGTCGGGGCATTGCTGGGACTGTGTCGGGGTCTGGGTATTTGCGCGAGTCTGTGTGTGCGTGTGTCAGTTTAATTGCTCTGATTGTTGAGGGCATGCTCCAAAGAGACAAAGTCAAGCGCGAGAAGAGACAGCAGGCTGAAAGGGAGGGTGGGAGGTGGGCGGGGTGCGTGAGTGTGTTGTTGGTTGGTGACGAGGCCGCAAAGAACAAAAAGAAGGCCGCGCTAGCGCGGGGCGGGCGCTTGGGCGTGGAAAATGGGGCGGGCAGTTCGTGCTGGTTCGTTCATGCTCGTTTCGTCCGACGGCAGGTCGAAGAACTCCTCGCAAAGACTGCAGCGAAGGTTTTTGTTTTTGCCTTGTGAGGGGTGGGGGCTGGGGCATGGATGCTGGGTGGCTGTGCGGCAGGCGCAGCACTACATTACCTTTACCGCACTCGGCAGTGAGCTCGGCGTATCGTCGTATGTTTTTGTTGTGTGTGTGTGTGTGTGTGTGTGTGTGTGCAAAAAGTGAGAGGTTCCAACCAGGCGGAAGTCATCGGCGTGTCTCCCGCGGACTTTAAGTCGAGGGGAGCTCAGCCGCCGTATTTTTTTGCGCGCCATAATTTTGCACTGTTCGGAATTGAGGCTCTTGCAGGAGGTCCGGAGCCTGAACGAGCGGGCGTTCGGCAAGCCGGAGGAAGCTCCGGGCCTTGTGTTCTTCAAGGGGGGTTTATAAATTCGAGTTAGGGTAGCAGTCGGGTTGTGCAGATGCAAGAGGGGAACAGAGAGAGGGATATCGAGAGAGGAGTCCGACGAGAGCTCCAACGAGGAGGAGGTGCGTGGGCGTGTGAGGGGAGAGAGCAAGAGAGGAGGAGAGAGAAAGAGAGAGAGAGAGAGAGAGAGAGAGAGAGAGAGAGAGAGAGAGAGAGAGAGAGAGAGAGAGAGAGAGAGAGAGAGAGAGAGAGAGAGCGAGCGAGAGAGAGAGAGAGAGCATAAAGTGGAGCGGGAGAGAGAGTGAGACAGAGACAGAATGAGAGAGACGCAGGACGCTTCAGCACGCGACTTTAGGCCATCCAGCTCCTCTTGAAGGGGGGGAGGAACCGTAAGTGTTCCTCCCAACCTCTAGGGGGTTGAGGGTACTGGTGTTGGGTTCAGATTTGTGTAGAGCGTAGTGTATGTTTGATTAGGGTTTTAGGTGTTAGTTGTTTGTTTTTGTTTGTTTGGTAGAGCACTTTCAACCCCCGCTTAGCTGTTTGAAGCTCCGCTTTGACACAGGGAGGGTGGAAACGGCGTGCGGGGATAGGGTTGAATCGGGGGATATCCTAGGCTTGGTCCGGGATCACGCCGTCTCCACCCTCCCTCTTTTGTGCGCAGCCCGAGAAAAAGCATGAATGCGGTTGTTTTTTGAGGTTTTATGAGTAATTAAATCACATCCATAAAGTCTCAAAAAAAAAGAAAGTTGTTTGTATCATTTCGGATTTTTGAATATCCATGAGATTATATGACTATCTAATGATATTCGGAAAACCTCAAAAAGATAATATGGATTCAATTTATGTATATGGAATATTATGAATATGAATACCAATGGATTCTCATAAATGGATAAATGGATGATTTTTTTGTTTTGAGGTTTTACGAATATCAAATCTCAAAAAATGAAAAATAGGTTTGAATCATTTCGGTATTTCTGAATATCAATGAGATTTAAAAATAATGAGATATTCTGAATATGACATAATATTCGGACAATCTGAATATAATATGATATGGATTCAATTTATATGCAGAAACTTTATAGTATATATATAGTACAATACACACACATATACGCAGTATATATACATACATACTATATATACATAGTATATTTACATAGTATATATACATATATTCTATATACTGACGGCCCCAGCCGAGGCCAGCATAGCCTGAGTGGAGGGGTTGAGTTGGCAGGTCTGTCTTATGGGTTCAATTCATGTGGAATAAGTCTCCTGGGCCCTATGATGCTTAAGCGCACTGGAAAAACCAACCCTCACGAGCATCGCATGCCCAGCCCTCAACCCTAAACCAATCCTGCTCTGTATGGCAGTGTCCCCAAACCCCAAGCCCTAGTGTAGACACTACTATAGGGGTCGGAATATGTACTGGTATTATTCCATGATAAGTTCACTATAACCCCAAACCCCTAAACCGTACTATACCTGGCTTTCTTCTGGCTGGCTCTTAGGACTTCTAGAACCTAAACTTTTCCGAGGGGTTCAGAAGTCAGCCAAGTCTAGGGGTCGGAATGTTTACTAACATTATTCCCTGAAGGTCCTTATATAATTGCACTATTATAAGAACCCCCAAAACCCCCATTCCAAGCATTAAGGTACCTATAGTACCCCTTCATAAGCCCTAAACCCTGAACTCTAAACTTTTTGTCGCCCCTGACTCACGAGCTCCTAAACCCAAAGCCCTGCAGTAATTTCTAAAACCTTCAGCCCTGAGAGGTTTAAGGTTTAGGGTTTAGGGTTTAGGGTTTAGGGGTTAGGTTTAGGGTTTAGGGTTTGGGGTTTAGGGTTTAGGGTTTGGGGTTTAGGGTTTAGGGTTTAGGGTTTAGGGCCCCAGCGTTGAAGCCTACCCTAGAGCCCAAACCCTAAACCCTAAACCCTAAACCCTAAACCCTAAACCCTAAACCCTAAACCCTAAACCCTAAACCCTAAACCCTAAACCCTAAACCCCAAACCCCAAACCCCAAACCCTAAACCCTAAACCCTAAACCCTAAACCCTAAACCCTAAACCCTAAACCCTAAACCCCAGTCCGATGATCGGGCGGCCTGCCGCTTTGCCCGGCGCCCGCCTGGCTTTGGAAGTGTGGGCCAAGGGCCCTAAACCCTAAACCCTAAACCCTAAACCCTAAACAATAAACCCTAAACCCTAAACCCTAAACCCTAAACCCTAAACCCTAAACCTTAAACTCGAAACCCTAAACCCTAAACCAAACCGGAAAACCCTTGGCTCCCAGCAGCCCCCAACCCAATCGTGGGGGTGTAGAACTTGCTAACATAGAGTTCCCACATCCCTGCAAAATTTGGAGATTAGATCGCACCTCAACCTTCAACCCAAAAAACCCTAAACCCTAAACCCTAAACCCTAAACCCTAAACCCTAAACCCTTTTTGGGTACCCTAGCAATCAGGCGCCGTCGTATGGTAGGTACTGCAAAAGGCACAAGATCACCTCCCTTTCAACCTCTCCCGAGATTGGGGGAAACGCATTCCTTTGCTTCTGGTTCTGGAGTTAGGTACCCTGCAGAGTCCCGGGATGTAGGAGGTATAGAGCGCGACCGAGCAAAACTTGGGCAGGGAATTTGGGGTCGGAGCGCTTGTGGAATGCAGACTTGCCAGAAACACCAGGACGATGTAACCCTAAACCCTAAACCCTAAACCCTAAACCCTAAACCCTAAACCCTAAACCCTAAACCCTAAACCCTAAACCCTAAACCCTAGACCCTAAACCCTAAACCCAAAACCCAAAACCCTAAAACCCTAAACTCTAAACCCTAAACCCTAAACCCTAAAACCCTAAACCCTAAACCCTAAACCCTAAACCCTAAACCCTAAACCCTAAACTTCGTGAATCTCGGTTTAAATCCTAAGAGCTCAGAGCCTCGGAGGCGAGTTCGGACACACGCGCCACCCGAACCCTCAACCCTTAGCCATACTCCTCCTTATGGGCAAGAAGTCCCAGCCCTAAGCCCCTGCCCTTGTCAACATGTTAATCATGAATATCTATATTAATCTTGGTATATTTTTTCTTTTTAATATCTATATATATGTATAAATATAAACCGGACACTTTGGGTACGGCGGTCTAATGACCCCTCCGCGCAAGCTCTCGCTCGGCCTCTCTCTACCTCCCTCGCTTCCCAAGTCCAGTTGGAGTAACTTACAGGGCATGTCGTCGCACATGCAGGGTTTAGGGTTTAGGGTTTAGGGTTTACGGTTTACGGTTTAGGGTTTAGGGTTTAGGATTCAAGTGCAGTCCTTTCAAACGCGTCGTACACATCACCGCAGGTCCAGGATTTTCTGGTTTGCGGAGAACATCGCTTCTGCAGGAGACATGACTGCGCAAACCACGGCGCGGTTTTCGACCCAACCCCAGACCCTAGCAGTTTAGGTTTGGGAGGTTCAGGGTGTAGGCCCAAAAAAGCCCCCAAAACCAATTCCAGAGCTGACAAACAAGTGCTGTAGACGGTCCGGAGAGGCGGTCTGTCGGACCTTTCATGCCTGTGCCATGCACCGGGTCCTTCGGCTGACGGCAAGGAGCTGGGCAGCTTGGTATTGCAGCTTTGTGGGTTTCGAATTTCGGGTTTGTGGCCCGCTCCTCAAGTCCTACAAACAGACTCCAGCCCCTGACCCCTAAACCCTACAACTACCCTTGAGCCCTAAACCGTAATTAAACCTCAAACCCTAATTCCCGACTAGGCTTTCGCAGCGTTCAAGCTTGTGCAACCCGGAGCCCAAGTCTCCCAGAAGCCTGAAACCGGCTTTGGGGGTGTAGGGTGCGGGTTTAGGGTTTAGGGTTTAGGGTGGGTTGAGGGTTGAGGGTTGGGGGTTGAGGTATGAGGGTTGTGGGTTGAAAGTTCCAAACCCCAACCCGTGAATCCTTAATATGGGGGTCGGACTGGTCCCGATATGAATATACTATAATAGGCCCCAAAACCTTGTTCGAATTGTTAAGCCCCCCAACAGTACCCTCTCCCTACGCCCTGCAGTAATTCCGTTTAGTCTCCCACTTCCGGGCGAACTCAGTACGCAGCCCCCCATCCCCTTGTTGGGCTAACGTGGAGGTATTTATTTACTGGAACCTTATTAATTTGAATGTGATTGCTATTAATTTTTCCTGATATTTAGTATGATTCCTATTCTTTTGAAATAGGATTCTAAGAATTTCTTAGAAATTTCATGAGAATCCTCTGAAAATGAATAGGAGTCATATTCAACATTAATAGGAATCCCAGCAATACATCCTCTGGGGTTTTGTTTATTCACATTGAATATGAATCCTATGCATTTTCAGAGGATTCTCATGAATTTTCAACGATCCTTTTAAAAAGAATAGGAATCATACTTAATAGTATGCAATTTAATAGGAATCATATTCAAATAAGGTCTCAAAATAAATTAAGACCTCCATGAAAAACCAAGGGTCCGGGGTGGAGGGGGGGGTCGGGGGGGGGTGGAGGGGGGGGGGTGGAGGGGGGGTGGGGGTCTGAACGTAATTCCCAAGACCTACCCTGTGAGGCTTAGGGTTTAGGGTCAGGGTTGAGGGTTTAGGGGATAGGATTTATAGAAATTGTACAGGGTTTGTGTCCGAGTTTTTGGGGGGGTTTTGGGGGGGGTTTTTGGGAGGCTTTGGGGGGGGGGGGGGGGGTTTTGTCGGATTTTGCTTTTTGCTTTTTGGGGGTCTTGGGAGCCTCCTGGGGCAATTTGGGGGTCTCCTGGTGCCTTTTAAGGGCCTCCGTTCGGGCCTGCGGGGTTGGTGGTCTGCCTTTGGGGGGCCTGCGGCCGAGGCTGGGGCTGCCCTGGCAACCTTTTGGGGCATCTTTCGGACTTCTTACTTTCCTCATTTAGGGTTTTTTGGCGCCTGAGAGTCAGGTTTTTTTGGCGCCTGAGAGTCATGTTGTTTTACACTGTGAAGGATGAAGGATTATTGCACGAGCTGCTCGTAATGAAATGCATAGCAATTTCTATTTGTCCTGGCCTTGAGGGTTTACGGTTGAGGGTTGAGGGTTTTTAGGGTTTAGGGTTTAGGGTTTAGAGTTTAGGGTTGAGGGTTTAGGGTTTGGGGTTTAGGGTTTAGGGGCTTTGAGAGCAGCTCAGGCGCACCAGCCCCCCGCCGCCGCGAGGCTAGCGGCCACTCGCTGGGCCGGCGCCAGGTGCGGTGGGTGCAGGGTAGCTGTGTAAGAGTACTTCCACTTGCAGGTCGCTTGTGTTTTTGGCGGGTGCCTAAACTGTGGATTCGCACCCTTTGTTTGCCCACCCAGATTGGGCACTACAGCATTTTCGTTGCGTGCTCCATGTCGAAATTCTGACCCGAAACTGAGAAAGTGGACGTGAGGAAACACAGTTTTTTCGAGCTGCACGGGAAAAGCTTGTTGCTCCGACACCAGCTGGGGTGTGTCCATTCTCAGCGACATGTGTGATGATGACTCTCTGGGACAAAAAAGACAGCTAAGCCAGCTAAGCCCATCGACGTGGGCACGAGTGGTCCGTGAACGACCTTAAAAATCTTCTCTCGCCGCAAGTTTGCCGGTGTGGGTCCTCCTGCAGGCTCTAAAAAGAAACCACAGGAGAAAGTGCTTTGGAGTCGTGCCTTAGCGCCAATCCGATGGAGTACTCAGAAGCGTGGCGACAATCCCCAAGATCGCGCCCTCTTGAGTCAGCAGACACGAAAAGGCCTCGACCCTCGACTGCACGCCTTGTTCCAGTGTATGTGTCGGTGGCAGGGGAATACTCCCTCCTCCACCCTCCCCCCGCCCCCCCAACTCGCAGCCGTCATTCGAAAGATCGGGTAGGCAAACGGAGTTCCCGGACCCAAAGCCCTGAACCCTAGACCCTGAACCGCAAACCCTAAACCCTAAACCCTAAATCCTAGATCCTAAACCCTAGACCCTGAACCCCAAACCCTGAACCTTGAACCCTAAAGGCACTTCGCGCGCCATGCGACGCCCGTCAAGGACAGCGCTGGCCTGGGACCCCAATGGTTTCGGGTTTAGGGTTTAGGGTCTAGGGTTAGGGTTTAGGGTTTAGGGTTTAGGGTTTAGGGTTTAGGGTTTAGGGTTTAGGGTTTAGGGTTAGGGAGCAGGCCTCGGGGTTCGGGGCGTTTAGGGGGATTCAGCGGATGTCGAGTTTAGGGCCTTTGCCAGATTTCATAAAGGGCTTCAGAGGGCTTGGGGTACTTTAGGGTTTAGGGTTTAGGGTTGAGGGTTTAGGGTTTAGGGTTGAGGGTTTAGGTTTTAGGGTTTAGGGTTGAGGGTTTAGGGTTGAGGGTTTAGGGTTGAGGGTTTAGGGTTTAGGGTTTAGGTAGTTCTGGGTGTCGGGCTTAAGAGGTTAATTCGGTGGTGGGCTCATTAAAAGCTCAAGATTTGACGATGCTTAAACCCCAGACGCTGAACCCTGAACTCTAAACCCTAAACCCTGAACATAGACTCGAGACAAAACCTGAAACACCTTAGGCTCCCAAACCCCAAACTCCGAAACCCCAAACTCCAAAACCCTAAATTAAAACATAAATCAAAAGCTTAAACCTTAAACCCGAAACCCTAAACCCTAAACCCTCAACCCTCAGCCCTAAACCCTAAACCCTAAACAACCTTAAACCCGAAACCATAAACCCTAAACCTTCAACCCTAAACCCCGAACCCTGAGGCGCCAACACGAACCTCTACGAGAAGGTCTTCCGCCCTTTGGGCGTGTCCACCTTCCAGCAGCTCGGGCTCTAAGGGCTTTTGGGGGTGTAGGGGTTCAAGCGCTAAACCCTAGACCCTAAACCCTAAACCCTAAACCCTAAACCCTAAGCCCTAAACCCTAAACCCTAACCGCCCTCGGGGTTAAGTTTTCTAGGGTGGGTGTAAGGCTTTGTCCAGGTTGGAGGGGCAAACTCGGGGGGCCTTGGGGTTTACGGTTCAGGTTTTCAAACCCCGCATGGGGAGGTGCCAGGTCGATCCCCTCGCACCCATGCCCGCCCTGAACCCTAAACCCTAAACCCTATACCCTAAACCCTAAACCCTAAACCCAGGTATGAGAAGCTCGTGAGTCATGCAAGCAAGTGCAAGGCACGGCTGGGGGCTGGGTGGGGTGGGGGAGGGGGGGAGGGGGAGGCGGGCAGGTGGGCCGGGGGGGGGGGGGGCTGAGTGCCCTAAGTGGGGTTAAAAGTATTTAGTTGCCATAGTATCAGCCTACTTACAGCTACCCTTGAACCTACAAGGAAGACGGACTAAAAGCATGAAGGAAGTGGCTTACCACAAAGTTTCTCTTTGACTGGAGATTTCGAGAAGGAACATGGACGAGGAGAGCTCGTCTTGTAGCGCGGGAGTTCAAGACCGCAGAGACAAGGAACCCTAAACCCTAAACCCTAAACCCTAAACCCTAAACCCTAAACCCTAAACCCTAAACCCTAAACCCTAAAGCAACAAGCTCAGCAGTGGTTTCGGATTATTCCAGCATTAGCATTCCAAGCGGGAATGAAGCTTTGGGCACTCGATGTGAAGGACGCATTCCTTCAGGTGCCACAAAAGGCGCCATGTGCGTGTAGGATGGCAGCAGAGTACAAAGAGCTTCTCCAGAAGGAAGAAGAAGCTCCCGAAAGAGTCGTCCTGGAAAGACTCCGCCCGCGATGATGAAGAGATCGTTCGCCTGGAACGTGTTCTACCTCAACTCCTGAACCTTAAGTTCGAAACTCCAGGTACGAAACCTAGACCCTAGAACATTCGGAAACCCAAGGCCCGAGACCCTAAACCCTAAACCTAAACCCTAAACCCTAAACCCCAAACCCTAAACCCTAAGCCCTAAGCCCTAAACCCTAAACCCTAAACCCTGAACCTTAAGCCCTAACATGTCCGAACCTCAGACCCTGAACTTTGAGCCCTAGAAGCCCAGACTACAAGAAACCCTGAACCCTCCTGAACCTGAACCCTCAAACCCGCCACTCCAAGCCCTAGGTCCCCTTAAGTAAGGCTTAATAGCTTATTAGGCGTCAAGGGCTGAAGGATTCAAGGGCTGTGAGAGGGCTTAGGGCTTAGGGTTTAGGGGTTTCAGGGTTTGGGCTTGAGGTTTGGGGTGGACGGTTGAGGATTGAGGGTTGAGCCCAAGGTCCAGAGACTTGGGGTCAGAGTTGCACCCCACTCAGGCCCCTTCCTGCGAATGCGTCCAGGATTTAATGGAGAGGTCCCCGGGTTTTGGGTTCAGCTGAGCCATACCCTACACCTAAACCCTAAACCCTAAACCCTAAGCCCTAAACCCTAAACCCTAAACCCTACACCCTAAACCCTAAACCCTAAACCCTTAACCCTTAACCCTTAACCCTTAACCCTAAACCCTAAACCCTAAACCCTAAACCCTAAACCCTAAACCCTAAACCCTAAACCCTAAACCCTAATCCCTAAACCCTAAACCCTAACCCCTAAACCCTAAATCCTAAACCTTGAACCTTAAACCTTAAACCCTAAACCCAAACCCTCAAACCCCCAAGCCCCAACCCGGGAGCTCCCGTGCCTGGGAGGCCACGAAGGGCTCCATCGTCGTCCGCGGTGGGGAGCCGCACCGGAGGCGCTAGGGTTTAGGGTTTTAGGGTTTAGGGTTTAGGGTTTAGGGTTTAGGGTTCAGGGTTCAGGGTTCAGGGTTCAGGGCTTGGGGTTCAGGTGTGGTTTCCGGTTTTTAAAAGGCTTACTGGGTTTAGGTTTAGGGTGGAGCTTCGTGGGGCTCAGGTTCAAAGGTTCACGGTTTGAGATGGGTTTAGACTGCAGTGGTTGGGAGTTGCGGAGCCGATGGTGGATCGTTCATCACGGATGTCATGAGAATGTACATCAACTTCATACAAAACACTCCAAGCCCCCGCAAGCCCCCTTGAAGCCCGAAACCGGGAAACCCTAAAACCCCGAACCCCGGTTCGCCACCCTCGCACGGAGCAGGTTCGTCTTGCTGACGCACGGGTCCGCCATCGCGCACAAGCATGAACAGGGGCCCCTCGGTCATAGGATGTTCTGGAGAGACAGCAAAAAAGGAGCCCTAAACCCTAAACCCTAAACCCTAAACCCTAAACCCTAAACCCTAAACCCTAAACCCTAAACCCTAAACCCTAAACCCTAAACCCTAAACCCTAAACCCTAAACCCTAAACCCTAACCCTAAACCCTAAACCCTAAACCCTAAACCCTAAAAACCCTAAACCCTAAACCCTAAACCCTAAACCCTAAACCTAAACCTACCCTAACCCTAAACCCTAAAACCCTAAACCCTAAACCCTAAACCCTAAACCCTAAACCCTAAACCCTAAACCCTAAACCCTAAACCCTAACCCTAAACCCTATACCCTAAACCCTAGACCCTACTACCCTACACCCTAAACCCTGCTACCTTAAACGCTAAACCCTAAACCCTAAACCCTAAACCCTAAACCCTTCTATCCTAAACCCAAAACCCTCTTTCCCTAAACCCTAAACCCTAACACCCTCGTATCCTCATACTCTCATACCCAAATACCCCCATACCCTAATACACTCATACCCTACCCTAATACCCTAATACCCTAATACCTTAATACCCCAAACCCTACACCACCCCCACGGGGGTGGCAACCTCCCCTAAACATTAGAGGCTAAACCCTAAACCCTAAACCCTAAACCCTAAACCCTAAACCCTAAACCCTAAACCCTAAACCCTAAACCCTAAACCCTAAACCCTAAACCCTAATCCTCTGACTTGGGGGCCTTCAGGGTTCGCCTCTTCATGAGCTGTAGGGTTTCGGGTTTAGGGTTTAGGGTTGAGGGTTTTGGGGGGCCAACCCCTTGCATGGAAGCTACGAAGCACCCTAAACCCTAAACCCTAAACCCTAAACCCTAAACCCTAAACCCTAAACCCTAAACCCTAAACCCTAAACCCTAAACCCTAAACCCTAAACCCTAAACCCTAAACCCTAAACAAAACCCGAAACCCGACACCCTAAACCCTAAACCCTAAACCCTAAACCCTAAACCCTAAACCCTAAACCCTAAACCCTAAACCCGAAGCCCTAAGCCCTAAGCGCTAAGTCCTAAACCCTAAACCCCCAGAAGAAATGTCCTCTGATGAGCCCAGGCAGACGGGCGACAGCTTGGGGCCGCCTATCTGTCGCTACGTGGGGCGGCTGACCCGCGCCCAGGAGCCCGCAGACGACATCCAGGTGGGCAATTTAGGGCTTTACGGCTTTAGGCCTTTAGGGCTTTAGGGTTTAGGGCTTTAGGGCTTTAGGGCTTTAGGGTCAGGGTTCGGACAAAGATTGTAGGTTGGCACATGCAGAGATAAGAAGCTAACTGTGAACCTCCAAAAGCAGCCCAATCCTTTGCCTAAACCACTACAACAAACCCCGAGCCTTAAACCCCTCAAGTCCTCAACCCTGAAACCCTGAAACAAAACCCTAAACCAAAGCTTACAAACTTAAACCCCTAAACTCTAACCCTTAAATTAAACCCTTAAGCCCCGAACCCCTAAACTCGTAAAAGCCCTTGAAGCCCTTGAAGCCCTTAAACCCTAGAAGCATCGATAACCCTAAACCCTGAACCCCAAACCCTAAACCCTAAACCCTAAACCCTAAACCCTAAACCCTAAACCCTAAACCCTAAACCCTAAACCCTAAACCCTAAACCCTAAACCCTAAACCCTAAACCCTAAACCCTAAACCCTAAACCCTTGAGGTGCCCGTGCGGGGCTCCGTCATCGGAGGCTCAGCCTTGGTCGACGACTCCGTGGCGGAGAGGCATCTTAGGTAAGGTTTAGGGTTTAGTTTTGAGGGTTTAGGGTTTAGGGTTTAGGGTTTAGGGTTTAGGGTTTAGGGTTTAGGTCTACGGTTTAGGGTTTAGGGGTTAGGGTCCAAGGTTTAGGGTTTAGAGTTTAGGGTTCAGGGTTTAGGGTTTGGGGTTTGGGGTTCAGGGTTTAGGGTTCGTCCTTGGGGATGGTTCATATGATCCCTAGGACCCAGAGTTGGCCCTGATTCCACTTTTTTGTGGGGGGCAGGGTTTAGGGTTTAGGGTTTAGGGTTTAGGGTTTAGGGTTTGGGGTTTGGGGTTTGGGGTTTGGGGTTTAGGGTTTAGCGTTTAGGGTTTGGGGTTTAGGGTTTAGGGTTTAGGGGGCCCTACTTGGAGGTTCGTGGTACTTATTAACCAAGTGTAACTGTACGTATAACTATACTTATAACCATATTCGGGCACTTAAGGGGCTTATAAGTGGGTTACAAGTACAGTTAAAATTGGTTAGTAAGTACCATGAATCTCCAAGTACACCAGGATGGGCTATTAGGCCTTAAAATCCCCATAATGAACCATATAAAGGGCCTTTTAAGGGATTGTAGGGTACAATAGCCCCTCCTGGTAAGGCCTTTGAAACCAAAAAGAGGCACCCTTGTTATTCGTAGGTTGCTCTTGGGTCTAGTGTTTTACCTCCTTGAGTTTGAAGGTTTCGGGAGTTGTCAGGGTGTTTTTTCGGGGGGTTTCAGGGTTTTAGGGGAAGCCTGGGGTTTAGAGTTTAGAGATCAGGAAGTCTAAAGATTTGGTTGCTTTTTGGGCGTAGGGTTCAGGGTTTAGGGTTTCGGGATTAGGTTTAGGGGTACCTTGGTGCGGGGGGGGGGGGGGGGGGGGGTCCTTTTGAGGGGGATTCCGCTGGCGTTTGAGTGGGCTCTCCACAGGGCAGTGAGCATTACGATGGTCAACGGCCTTGTGGGCACTTGTAGTTATGCGAGCCTAAACCCTAAACCCCAAACCCCAAACCCCGAACCCCAAACCCCAAACCCCAAACCCGAAACCCCAAACCCCAAACCCCAAACCCCAAACCCTAAACCCTAAACCCTAAACCCCAAACCCTAAACCCTAAACCCTAAACCCTAAACCCTAAACCCTAAACCCCAAACCCTAAACCCTAAACCCTAAACCCTAAGCAGTGGAACGCTTGGTGGGTTGCGCCAGGGCCGATGCCAACCCCGGAGACCTAGGCGGTCATTCAGGGCTTAGGGTTTAGGGTTTAGGGTTTAGGGTTTAGGGTTTAGGGTTTAGGGTTTAGGGTTTAGGGTTTAGGGTTTAGGGTTTAGGGTTTAGGGTTTAGGGTTTAGGGCTTTAGGTTTCGGGTTTAGGGTTTCGGGTTTAGGGTTTAGAGTTTTTAGGGCTTAGGGCTTTGGGTTTTGGGATTGTTCAGGGTTTAGGGTTTAGGGGTTTAGGGGTTTAGGGGTTTAGGTGGGTTGTGGGCGGACGTACGGTTTTTGGGCCCTCAACATCCCTAAGCCTTTGATTGCAGGTCCTACCCCTCCGACATCGTGGCTGCTGAGCCGACAGAATGGCTGGAGTGGGATCTAGAGGCCGATGACTCTGTGGGTTTAGGGTTTAGGGTTTAGGGTTTCGGGTTTAGGGTCTAGGGTCTAGGGTCTAGGGTTCAGGGTTTAGGGTTTGGGGTTTGGGGTTCGGGGTTCGGGGTTCGGGGAGGGGGGGGGGTGGGAGGCGGTTGAGCCCCTCGACCTCAGTGTCTTTGTCCGAGTCCTAGATGCCGGATTAGGTTCACATCTTTGTCGGGGGTCCAAAGCTAGGGGAGATAGCAGAGGTTCGAAGGGGGCTGGTCAAAAGAAGGTGCGGGTGGTGGTACTGTCGTGCCTTTTTCGTTGCTGTGCACACACACACACACAAGCCGACCCAGAGCCCCAAAACCCCAAGACCTTTGAAATCTCAGCCCTAAACCCTAAACCCTAAGCCCTAACCCCTTAACCCTAAACCGTAAACCCTAAACTCCAAACCCTAAACCCCGATATCCCCAAACCTTGAATTCCCCAAGCCCTTCAAAGAGCCTACATCCCCGAAGCCCACCGTCAGCTGCCAATTGCGATTTCAATCTACCCGTAGCGGCAGAAGGCTAGCAACTACACCCTAAACCCTAAACCCTAAACAAAATATGACCCTTCAAAAGCACGAGAATGAAACCTCAACCGCATGAAGGTGTCACGAAAGCTTCGAGCATGAGTTCCCGCTAAAACCAGACTTCGTTTGGCAGCCGTGGTCTACGCATGCAGAGTTTAGGGTTTAGGGTTTAGAGTTTAGGGTTTGGGGTTTAGGGTTTAGGGTTCAGGGTTCAGGGTTTAGGGTTTAGGGTTTAGGGTTTCAGTGATCCAGGATCTTCAGAGCATCATCGACGCGCAAGGATGGCGTGCTGTTCAGGTGCCTGCTTTCAGCTAAGATGTCCCTGGACCCAATGAGCCCCAATGAACCATAAACTACAGACACTGAACACCAAACCAAAAAAGGGCGGCTTCGAATTGGGCAGGCGCCTTTGGGTTTAGGGCCCTTGGGTTGAGCTTGTGGTGTTGACATGAAGTACCCTAAACCCGAAACCCGAAACCCTGAACCCCACACCCTTAACCCTAAACCCTGAACCCGAAGCATGAGAGGTCTTAGGTCCATTCGTAGTCGCTGCCACTTTGTGTGCTTCAGCAGGGACTTCGGGACATGCAAGGGGTCACATGTGAGGTATGGGCCCCTTTCTAGGTCATTATTTTGTAGTATTACTATTCTGCATCTAAGATGCTTATGTATAATATTATAATCATAAGAAGATGCGATCATGAAAATTCTTTAGGATTAGCAGTACTGGTCTTCAGGCTTCCGTTTCACTTATCATCACCATTCCTGTTTTATTCGTATAAGAAGAAGAACTGTTGCCATCGTTTGAATTTTCTCGTCACGATGAATAGGACTACTATGCTTATCATTCTCAACATGTAGTATCTTTATCAATCTTCTTGTTCTTTCGACCCCGCCCCCCCCCCCCCCCTCCCCTCCCAACCACCTACCCCCCCCACCCCGCCCTACCCGAATCTATAAACCCAGAAAACCTAAACCCCTGAGCCCGGAGCCCGAACCCGCAACCCGGGGGTCCCTTCACTCTAAACTCTAAACCCACCCTGGAAAAACAAACGCCTCGAATCTCCATCGCCCCTAGCGCTTTAGGGTTCAAGGGTTAGGGTTTAGGGTTTAGGGTTTAGGGTTTAGGGTTTAGGGTTCAGGGTTCAGGGTTTAGGGTTTAGGGTTTAGGGTTTAGGGTTTCCCCTCGCATGAGCAAGGCCAGCTTCTACCACCTCCTCTATGTGGAGATCCTGAGTGACGGGGCCCGATGGGTGAGGGTTGCTTTTTTTGGTCGGTGTCGGGCCGAGGGTTTAGGGTTTAGGGTTTAGGGTTTAGGGTTTAGGGTTTAGGGTTTCGGGTTTAGGATTAGGCGTGTTTCGGGTTTGGGGCGAAAGGTTTGATGGAACTACAACAACGCGCACACCTACCTCGAGTACACACAATGCTCGGGGGTGTGCCATGTCGAGGGTGTTGCCAAGCGCCAATGCAAAACGCTTCGGGCAAGACTCCGTGAAGCGTTGGTTCCTAAGCTCTCTGGAATTTTGGATGAACCCCAAACTCTCAACCCTAAACCCAAGCCCTGGGTTTAGGGTTTGTCGGGCTTTGGCTTCGGGTTCTCTACATACAATAAACATCCCTTTTCGCAGCACCCTATACAAAGAGGGGCCGTGGCACGTCAATGGCGCAGGAAGGGGAGCATGATTTAGCAGAGCCGTGGTGTACATGGGTGCCCTGAATTCGTGACACGGCAGATTTCCCTTGGTGTGGGTTTAGGGTTCGGGGAACGCACGTGGAGGTTCATGTGGGCAATAGGATAGCTGTCGTTTTGCATTTGGCTTTCGCCCCTGTTTGGGGACGACCTTGTTTTTTTATCTACCCATGCATCTTCAATGAAGGAACTCCCCCCCATTCCCTCCGAACAGAAGGGGCACAATGTGGGTACATCCCAATGTGCCTGAATTGGGCCCTGACAAAATGTGGTCTTTTTTTATGGTTCCTATTGCAATACGGAGCCTGGGACATAAGGTCCATTATTTCGAGAATGGTTCATATATATCTGTATGTCTATTAACACACACACACATCTCTCTCTCTCTCCCTGTATATATATATATATAATGTAGATATGTGCACAAAAACACACATGCCCTAAACCCTAACAAAGTCTGGCCCCAGACCATCACCCCCTTCAACGGACCCTAAACCCTAAACCCTAAACCCTAAGCCCTAAACCCCAAACCCCAAACCCTAAACCCCAAACCCTAAACCCTAAACCCCAAAACCCAAACCCTATAAACCCCACCCCTCCAAGGGACGCTGGATCGCGATCGCGCCTTCAGCATCAAGGCCGAGATGGTGCCTCGCTTTGCCTTAGGGGTTTAGGGTTTAGGGTTTAGGGTTTAGGGTGTCCTTGAGGAATTTGATGAGGCAAGGTACCTGTAGAAGGGGGGTAAAAGGGGGGTATAAGGGGGATAAGAGAAGTGTAAGGGGGCTATAGGGGGGGGTATAAGGGGGTATAAGGGGGGTATAAGGGAGGGGCGAATAAGGGAGGGGCGTATAAGAGTTGCAGAGACGCAGACAGTCAGAACGATGCGTGGCGGTGTATGAGTATATAGTATGTTATACCTGCAGGGTGTGTTTAGGGTCCGAGGAGAATCTACATCGACCTGCACGCACGCATTCTCGCTCTCACACACTGTTTCGTCTTGGGCACTGGCTTCTTTTGTTGCTCATGCAAAGAAGCTGCTCTTGGAGGGTTTTTTGGGTCTAAAGTTTTGGCGTTGCAGGGTTTCTCGAGCTTAGGGGTGGGAGGATTTGCTGCTTTAAAGGGGTTGCTTGACAAAGCGGTCGAGGCGTTTCTTCTACGTCATGTCAAGGCAATCAGCTGTTGGAAGTGTCTCGATGCGCGCCTCTCGCGCGGGCCATCCCAAATCCCGAGGGACTGAACTCGGTACCCCAAGATCAGCCTGCTAATGTAAGGGTTTAGGGTTTAGGCTTTAGGGTTTAGGGTTTAGGGCTTACATACTGATAGGGATTGAAAAGGTGACGATCTTGATATCTCGTCCCCTGGTATTAGTCGCAGGCCTTGTTGAGAAGGCAACCTGACAATGCGAAGGCTGATTTGTCGGGCGATGGTAGGCCGATATTGACGAAGACGAAGCTCCCTTCGACGTGGACCCCAGGTACTTCTCGCAAACCCCCAAAGAAAGCTTAAACCCTAAGCCATAAACCCTAAGATCTAAACCCTAAACCCTAAACCCTAAAACCCTAGAACCCTAAAACCCTCAAACCCTAAAACCCTAAAACCCTAAACCCCTAGAACCCTAAACCCTAAACCCTAAACCCTAAACCCTAATCGCGACCTCTTAGTCGACAAGAACTAAGGCCTCGGAGAGAGCTCCGAGTGAGGGCAGCGATCGGGCGGCGGGACCGACGACGAAACAGCTGACGCAGCCGCCCGGACTGGGGTTTAGGGGGTTTAGGGTTTAGGGTTTAGGGTTTAGGGTTTAGGGTTTAGGGTTTAGGGTTTAGGGTTTAGGGTTTAGGGTTTAGGGTTTAGGGTTTAGGGTCAGGCCACCAGCCACACACTATGGCCACCCCTTCCTAGCTCAGACCGTTTCTTTGTGCGCGCAGGTCAGTGATTCCTCCAGTATTTTTATGATGATTATCACTGCAAGTGTTAGCATTCGTGCTATGGTGATGATGATGATGATGACGATGATGATGATGATTCTCATGATTCAACATCAACATCAACAACAACAGCAACAACTGCTATTCCTACTACTTCTACCACTTCTACTACTTGTACTACTTCTACTACTTCTAGTACTTGTAGTACTTCTACTACTTCTACTGCTGCTACTCTACTAGTGCTGCTAGGACTGCTAGGAGGAGGATGAGGAGCAGGAGGAGCAGGAGGAGCAGGAGGAGGAGTGGAGGAGGAGGAAGAGGAGGAGGAGGACTACTACTACTACTACTACTTCTTCTACTTCTGCTCCTCCTCTGCTACTACTACTACTACTACTACTACTACTGCTACTACTACTACTACTACTACTACTACTACTACTACTTCTACTACTTCTATTACTACTACTCCTAGTACTACTACTACTACTACTACTACTACTACTACTACTGCTACTACTACTACTACTACTAATACTACTACTACTACTACTACTACTACTACTACTACTACTACTACTACTACTACTACTACTACTACTACTACTACTACTACTACTACTACTACTACTACTACTACTACTACTACTACTACTACTACTACTACTACTACTACTACTACTACTACTACTACTACTACTACTACTACTACTACTACCACTACTACTACTACTACTACTACTACTACTACTACTACTACTACTACTACTACTACTACTACTACTACTACTACTACTACTACTAGTACTACTACTAGTACTACTACTAGTACTACTGCTAGTACTACTACTACTACTACTACTGCTACTACTACTACTACTACTACTACTACTACTACTACTACTACTACTACTACTACTGCAATGCTACTACTGCTAGCATCCATCCTTGTAGTCCTGCTATTGCTACTGCTACCGCCGCTGCTATTCCTGCAACCTCCAGACGGCTCCTGCTCAAGAAGCTGCCGAACCCCCAATCGTAGGGTTCTTTGCAGCTCCTCAATCCTAGGGGCATCGCTCTGAACGCCGAAAAACCGTAGGGACGCCTTCAACCGAACTTACAATTGAGCCGGAAGATTTGGCTTAGGCCTTTATCACCGGAGCAATGTTGTGCATCCAACTGATGACTACTGGTAGCGAGGTTGCTCGCATGGAGCTGAAGGATGTGCCGTGCTCAACTCGAACTGGGAGCGAGTCTGTTTGCCACGTGCGCGATCTGAAGCTCCATCTCCAAAAGTTCTGTGGACATCCCCGGTTTCAACAGAGACTTTTGCAAGAAGATGGGGAGATACTGCCTGACGAGGCGGTTTTAGATGCCCCATGCCGATTGCAGCTCGTGTTGTTGGGCTTTGCAGAGACTCCTGCCGACCATATAGACAAGCTGCTCCAAGCAGTGGAAGCAAATGACACGAATCAAATAGAAAACATCTTGCAACGTCCCCAAGACCCAGGCCTGCCGAATTCGCGCGGCATCGCAGCCTTGCACGCTGCAGCCCGGTTTGGCAACGAAGTTGCTGCTTTGCAGCTGCTTGAGGCTGGTGCAGACAAGGACCAAATCGACATGGCTGGAACAACGCCTCTCTTATTTGCATGCTCTGGGGGCCACTTGGAGGTGGCACGCTTGCTCCTTGAAGCTGGCGCAGGCAAGAATATAGCCGCGAGAAGTGGAGCAACACCTCTTCTCGTCGCATCCCAGAATGGCCACTTGGAAGTGGCACGTTTGCTCCTTGAAGCTGGCGCGGGCAAGGATATGGCCACGACAGATGGAGCAACACCTCTTCACATCGCATCTGCGCAAGGCCACTCGGAAGTAACACGTTTGCTCCTTGAAGCTGGCGCGGACAAGGATGCAGCCGACATAAATGGAGCAATGCCTCTTTTTGTCGCATCTCAGAATGGCCACTTGGAAGTGGCACGTTTGCTCCTTGAAGCTGGCGCACACAAGGATGCTCCTGCCAGGGCAGATGGAGCCACGCCTCTTCACATCGCATCTGCGCAAGGCCACTTGGAAGTGGCACGTTTGCTCCTTGAAGCTGGCGCAGGCAAAGATACAGAAACGAGAAATGGATCAACACCTTTATTTGTCGCGTCACAGAATTGCCACTCAGAAGTGGCACGTTTGCTCCTTGGAGCTGGCGCGGGCAAGGATATACCCACGAGAAATGGAGCCACACCCCTTCACATCGCATCTGCGCAAGGCCACTTGGAAGTGGCACGTTTGCTCCTTGAAGCTGGCGCAGGCAAGGATATGGCCACGGCAAATGGAGCAACACCTCTTTTTGTCGCATCTCAGAAAGGCCGCTTGGAAGTGGTGCGTTTGCTTCTTGAAGCTGGCGCGGGCAAGGACAAAGCCACGCCAGATGGAGCAACACCGCTTTTCGCCGCATCTCAGAATGGCCACTCGGAAGTGGCGCGTTTGCTCATTGAAGCTGGCGCGGGCAAGGGTCTAGCCACGAGAAATGGAGCAACACCTCTTTTCGTCGCATCTCAGAATGGCCACTCGGACGTGGCACGTTTGCTCCTTGAAGCTGGCGCAGGCAAGGATACAGCCATGAGAAATGGAGCAACACCTCTATTTGTCGCATCTCAGAAAGGCAGCTTGGAAGTGGCACGTTTGCTTCTTGAAGCTGGCGCGGGCAAGGAGATTGCCCCCCCGGATGGAGCAACACCTCTTTTTGTCGCATCTCAGAACGGCCACTTGGAAGTGGCGCGCTTGCTTCTTGAAGCTGGCGCGGGCAAGGATGCTGCCAGAGCAGATGGAGCCACACCATTTCTCATCGCATCTGCGCAAGGCCACGTGGAAGTGGCACGCTTGCTCCTTGAAGCTGGCGCAAGCAAGGATGCGGCCAACAAGCGGACAAGGATTCAGCACACATAGATGGAGTAACGCCTCTTGACATCGCATGTCAGAACGGATACTTGGCAGTGGCACATTTGCACCCTCAGCCTAGCGCTGCCATCATGCAGCCACGACAGATGAAGCAGCGGGCAGGGGGCTACATGGAAGTGCCATAGCAGCTCTTCGATGCTAGTGCAGACACGAGCGTCAACTCAGAAAGGGTGCTGCGTAGTGTAGGTACTGACCCGACTGACATAAACTACAGTACTTGCTAGCTTCAATGCAATAAGCTGTGTCGTGTTCCTGATGGTCGTGCTCAGCGACGCCGTGTTATTGCACAGTACCGGGAGGTTCTGGGGTGATCTTTTCCTTCCCAGGGCGTTGATTAGGGCAACTGCTGCCGTAGCTAGGCGAGCAAACCTTGCTTAGAAGATCTTATGAACCTTCAGTGAAAGTTTTTGCACCCTTCCTCTCAAGGAGTTGGCAGTCGCCTTCCTGACGCATTCGCGTGTTTGTCGATTTCTCCCCCCCCCTTTTCAAGGCCACCGACCAGAGATTCTGCCTCCTTGGTAGCCTAAACCGCTTCTTTGTGCTCGCATGGTTAGCGCTCCCTAAACCCTAAACCCTAAACGCTAGGTTTAGGGCGGTTGAGGGTTTAGGTTAGGGTTGAGGGTTTGGGGTTTAGGGCTTCTAGCGGCTCAAAGCTCAGACTTCTCTTTTGTGCAATGACCGAGTTTAGGGTTTAGGGTTTAGGGTTTAGGGTTTAGGGTTTAGGTAGGGGTTTAGGGTTTGGGGGTTTGGGGGTTCGGGGTTTCGGGTTTGTGGGTGCAGGGCTCAGAAGTTTTTGACGCAAGGGTTACTAACAGCAGCCCCAAACGCATCCTACATTCTGTGCCCGGCGCCTTGAAACCTACTTGGGGTGTGGGGCCGCAGGATTCGCGCAGCTCCTTTTAGGCTGTAGGGCGAAGGGTATGCAGACTCCCTGATAAGAAGGCCAAAGCAGGACCACCAAAAAGGGAGCTTTCCTACAAGCCCTACAAAGCCCTGCGAGCCTTAAAAGCTCTCTAAGCCCGAAAGGGCTGACAGGCCCTACAAGCCCTGTAGGGCGGATTGGTCCCACACCCCAAACCCCAAACCCCAAACCCCAAACCCCAAACCTCAAACGCCAAACGCCAAACCCCAAACCCCAAATCCCAAACCCAAAACCCCAAACCTCAAACCCCAAACGCCAAACCCTAGATTCTCAAGCCTAAAGCCTAAACCCTAAACCTAAACCCTAAACCCTCAACCCGCAAGGCTGCTCATCTTCGTCGCGGTCCCCTTCTTTGGCTTCGGCTTGGCGGACAACGCGCGCCTGGGACTACGTCGAGGGCTAGAGCGGTAGCGCGGTAGAGGGTTGAGGGGTTGAGGGGGTTAGGGGTTGATGGTTTAGGGTTTGGGGTTTGGGGTTTAGGGTTTTAGGGTTTAGGGTTTAGGGTTTGGGGTTTAGGGTTTAGGGTTTCAGGGTTTATCATGGGGTTCTACCTTGGACCCCTAAGGTCGCACCCTTGGGCTTGGGGACCCTTTTTAAAGATCCCTAAGGGAATATAAGGGTCAGAGTAGGAGTATATTGCGGGAAACCTGCGGTGCAACCTTCGGGGTACGAGTCTGAATCCTGAACCCTAAGCCCTAAGCCCTAAACCCTAAACCCGGAACCCCAAACTCGCCAGGATCATGATCATCTGCGGTGACTTCATCGACGCCCAGTTCGGCGTCCTGCTGGGCCTCACCACCATGGCCTCGGCAGGCGACTTCCTCAAGGGGTAATTTTAAGGGCTTAGGGCTTAGGGTTTAGGGTTTAGGATGTTTTTAGGGTTTAGGGTTTGGGGTTTAGGGTTTGAGGGTTTAGGGTTTGAGGGTTTAGGGTTTGTGGGTTCAGGGTTCGGGGTTTTGGGCTTAGGGAAAGTTTTCGGGTTTTCTCGAAAGGTAATTTTGAGGGTTTAGGGTTTTAGGGTTTTAGGGTTTAGGGTTTTGGGTTTAGAGTTTGGGGTTTTAGGGTTCAGGGTTTAGGGGGTAGGTGTAAGGTTTAGGTGTAGGGTTTAGGGTAGTGCGTTTTCTCAAATTAGTCAGGGTTCAGGGTTCAGGGCTATTTTTTAGGGTTTAGGGGTTCAGGGTTTGGGGTAGTTTTTAGGGTTTAGGGTTTTAGGGTTCAGCGTTTAGGGTTCAGGGATATTTCAGGGTTCAGGGTTTTACGGTTCAGGGATTAGGGCTTAGGGTAATATTTAAGGTGTCGGGTTTGGGGTTCAGGGTGTCGGGTTTAGGTTGTTGGGGAGTTGAGGGTGTTAAGGGCCGAATTGGGGTTTAGCATTTTGGGGGTTTCAGGATTTGGGGCTTTGGGGTGTAGATGGGGTTCAGGGTCTAGTCAGGGCTGCCAAGGGTCTAATTGGGGTTTAGGGGTTTAGGGTTCATACATGGATTTAGTATTTATAAAGCGTTTTGGGCTTTAGATGGGGTTCAGGGTCGAATAAAGGGCTTTCGGGTTTATGTAGGGCTGTGGGGTTTAAATGGGGTTTTTAGGTTAAAGGGTTTGGGGTATATGGGGCTTGAGGGTTTGCAGCGGGTTTGGGGGTTTTTAATGGGCTTTGGAGTCCAATCGGAGGTTTTGAGGGTCTAGTTGGGGGTTTAGAGTGGTTGAGGGTTTAGGGTCTAGGGGCTTAAATTATTAAATGGGGTTCAGGGTCAAATTGGGGCTTTGTTGCTTTAATTGGGATTGAGGGTTTTGGGGTTGAAAAATTGGCTGTAGGGCCGAATTTGCGTTTAGGATTTAGGGGTTGTAAGGGGCTTTGGGGTTTGAACGGGATTTGGGTAGGATCAGGGTTTGGGGGTTTGGGTGTACATAGGGCTTTATAGGGTTTATCTCAGGTTTTGAGGTTTGCATGGGTCTAGGGTCTAATCTGGGTTTAGGGTTAAATGGGTTTTAGCGTCTACTTCGGGTGTAGGAGTTTAGGTGGCATTTCCCGGTGTAGTCAGGGTTTTTCAAGACTTTGGGGTCGAAGTCGGGAATAGATTCGTCACAAAGGTTTAGGGTTGTAAAGTGTTTTGGGTTTAACGGGGATTCGGGTAAAAATATGGTTTTTAGGGTCAGGATCTTATGGGTCTGCGGGACTAGGGTTTCAAAAGGGTTTAGGGCTTTAGGGGTCGAATTGGGGTTGGGGTCTGATCAGGGTGTAGGGCTTTGGGGTTCAAATGGGGTTTGGAGTTTAGGGTTCAAGACGCTAGAGCATTTTGTATCAATAGGAGCCCTAAACCCTAAACCCTAAACCCTAAACCCTAAACCCTAAACCCTAAACCCTGAACCCTGAACCCTAAACCTTAAACCCCGGAGCCCCACGGCAGTTGAGGTCTGGGCAACTGGCTGTCCGACACGATCGGCTTAGGCCCGGCCCGCAGCAAGTCTTTCCTCCATGCAGAGGGTTTAGGGTTTAGGGTTTAGGGTTTAAGGTTTAGGGTTTAGGGTTTAGGGTTTAGGGTTTAGTGGTTTCGGGTTTAGGGTTTAGGGCTTACGGTTGGGGTGTTCCCCCTTTTTTCCAACAGTCCTTACTAGGGATTTTAGTACCCGCTAGGGGGAACATCCCAAGTTTAGGGTTTAGGGTTTAGGGTTTAGGGTTTAGGGTTTCTGCAGAACCATAGAATGCTTAACTAAGGGCATTGAGCTCTCGGCGGGCTTTGGTCTGAGCTTTGGAGGGAAGCTTACGGCCCTACACCAAAATGTGTAGGGTTTAGGGTTTAGGGTTTAGGTTTAGGGTTTAGGGTTTAGGGCTTACGGGGGCTAACGACTTTTGCTCATGAGGGTTGCTGGGCTTCAGCCGCTCGAACGATCGGCGAAGCCGAGGCCGCGTACGCCTGGTGGTGGGGTTTCTCGCCCTTCCAGGGTCGGATGGAAGAGCTTCAGCCTCGGCTGGAGGCCATCAAGCCCAACATCGCATCGGGGTTTAGGGGGTTTAGGGTTTAGGGTTTAGAGTGGTTTAGGGTTTAGGGTCGAAGTGGCAGGCCGGATGCCCCCCGGAAGTTGGAAAGGGCGGGGGGGATGGCACCTTGCTGGGCGGTCCGGAAAGCGCGCACAAGGGGTCGCTCACCCAATTGACCGTCGTCACGGACATAGCCCCTTGGGCAGGGCTAGCACCGACAGCCCTTGCCCTAAACCCTAAACCTTAAACCCTAAACCCTAAACCAAAAACCCTAAACCCTAAACCCTAAACCCCAAACCCCAAACCCCAAACCCCAAACCCTAAACCCTTGCCCAAGCCCGAGAAACCTCTCCCAAGGAGGAGAGAACCAACCTGTTCAAAGCACTGGCGGGAGGCAGCGCCTGGAGCCTTGAACAATCAAGTATTTAGCCCTCAGAACCTTCGAGAGTGATTAGCCTCAACTCCGGTAACCCGAAACCCTAAACCCTAAACCTTAAACCCTAAACCTCAAACCCCAAACCTTAAACCCCAAACCCTAAACCCCCTGGACCCTAAACCCTAGGGCTCTCAACCCTCGGCCGCGGAGGCTTGGGTGACGCCATCGAGCGGTCTGCGCAGAAGCCACCTGGCTCAACCCCCAAGGGGATGGGGTTTGGGGTTTGGGTTTTTTTGGGTTTAGGGTTTAGGGTTTGGGGGTTTGGGGGTTTGGGGTTTAGGGTTTAGGGTTCGGGGTTTGGGGTTTAAGCCGGTTTGGGGGTTTAGGGTTTACGGCTTAGGATGAATCTAGTTGGAGGGTGCATGGGATAGTTCGAACTATTGTTGGGAGTTCTGCTGATGTAGGCCTTGGTGTAGGGCTTCAGGATTCAACGAGAGCCTCCTCTGAGGTTACCCTCCTAAATTCGATACCAAAAAACACCGAGGATCATGCCACAATAGACCCCCCCCGGGGAAGAAAGCACAATGAATGCCAAAATGTAGATCAACCCCCAAAATGAGAGAAGACACTCCAGCCCGGGGAGCGGTCAAGGGTCCTTAAGCCCGCAAAGAAACCCTAAACCCTAAACCCTAAGCCCGAAGCCCTAAACCCTAAACCCTACACCCTAAACCCCCTCAAACCCTACATGAAAACTGAGGATGGGGCTGAGCAACGGTGGCCTCTCGCCCATGCAGGCCTGGATAGGGATGCCGGAGAGGTTCCCAGCAGAGCAGTGGTGCGGTAACCTTGGGGTGCTCCAACCCTAAACCCTAAACCCTAAACCCTAAACCCTAAACCCTAAACCCTAAACCCTAAACCCTACACCCGAAACCCTAGAAACCCTGAACCCCTGCGAGTGGTGCTGTGTGCCAGTGGCACCGAGGCGTTCGGTACCTGAAGGTTCATGGTACTTGTTGGCCAGTTATAACTGTACATACAACGATACTTATAACCCTCTTAGGGCACTTTAGGGGCTTATAAGTGGGTTGTAAGTACAGTTATAATTGGTTAATACGTACCCCTGAACCCTAAACACTAAACCCTAAACCCTAAATCCGAAACAGGAGCGCATGAACATCGCGAAGATGACGACCCTCGCAGGGAAGCTGATCGGCATCACCCTCGGCTGCTTCGCAGGCTGGGCCCTGGAGCTCAGGGGCCTGTCAGGGTTTCAGGGTTGAGGGTTTAAGGTCTATAGGGTTTAGGGTTTAGGGTTTAGGGTTTAGGGTTTAGGGTTTAGGGCTAGGTTTTGGGGCTTTTGGGTCTCAGGATTTTCAGCGTTTCAGGCTTTTACGGCTTTGGTTTTCGAGGGCTTTTGGTTTTTAGGGATTTAGGGCTTCATGGGGTGTCAGGGTTTCGGGTTTCTGGGTTTCGGGCTTTGTAGGGCTTAGGGGTTTTCAGGGTTTAGAGCTCTTTTCAGAGTCCAAGCAGCCGAGCCCTACTGGTCGGGTGGCCGTTTGCGGTTTTTTGTTGCCCTAAACCCAAAACCCCTGAACACTAAACCCCAAAGTCTGAACCCCAGAAGCCCTAAACCCGGCTGTTGTGGGATTGCGGGTTGTGTTTCGGAGGGTTCGCCAAGCTGGGCCTGCGTGCACCTGATGATCCAACATGTGCAGTTCTCTGGGTGATGCTCTCTTTGGGGCTAGCCTAAATACCCTAAACCAAAAACCCTAAACCCTAAACCCTAGACCCTAGACCCTAAACCCTAAACCCTAAACCCTAAACCCTAAACCCTAAAACACACACTAGGAACCCCACAAAGCAGGGCATCTATGCATCTTGTTTGGTAAACGGAAACATGGCAAGATATGAGGGGGCACAGGGCCAGCCAGATTGCGCCCCACAACCCTTCAACCGCAAGCCCCCAACACTGAGGCAGGTCAGCCTACTTGCTGGTGTGTGTAGTAAGGACTGAGGGAAGTAGGGCGACAGGCCTGAACCCCTCAAGCCCCTAAGCCCTCTTATTTTAGGCCTTTTGGGGCCCTTCACTCCCTTCAGGACCCCCGAAACCCTAAAGCCTAAAACCCTAAACCCGAAACCCTAAACCCTAAACCCTAAAAAACCCCTAAACCCTAAACCCCTCCTCCTTCCGAAAGCCGACCTTCGCAGGAATGACGCCGCTTCTCTTCCTGACGCCGGCCAAGGTTGAGATTGCCAAAGACGACGTGGAGGCTCTTTAGAGCCTTCCCCCCCCACTTCCCATGGGGTTTAGGGTGTAGGGTTTAGGGTTTAGGGCTTAGGGTTTAGGGTTTAGGGTTTGGGGAACCCAAAGCCCCGAGCCTTAATCCTTAAGCCGAGACATCCCCCGAAATTATCCCAAAATCGCGAAAGTTCTAGGTCCCCGGCCTAAACCCTATGCCTGAAACCATCGACCTTAGCGACTTTAAACTAGGGGGCTTCGAGTCTCACTCGGTTTCGAGGCGTCCTTGGGTTTTAGGATTGGGGGTTTGGGAGGCTTAGGGTTTGGGGTTGGGGTTTAAGGTTTAGGGTTTAGGGTTCAGGGTTCAGGGGTTAGGGTTTAGGGTTTAGGGTTTAGGATTTAGGGTTTAGGGTTTAGTGTTTAGGGTTTAGGGTTTAGGGTTTAGGCAGACCCGGGGTTCAAGTATCACACGACCTTGCAGCGGGCTCGGGACAGTGCTCCTAGCACCCGCTAGCCCTGAGCATCCTCAAGCCAAAGCCTTGAACTCTAAACCCTAAACCCTAAACCCTAAACCCTAAACCCTAAACCCTAAACCCTAAACCCTAAACCCTAAACCCTAAACCCTAAACACTCTCTATCCTATGTATATTTAATGGCTAATGGCTTCCCGGTTTTTCCACTAAAAATTCACGGTTTTCCACCAAAAACTCCCGGTTTTCCACTAAAAATTCCAGGTTTTCCACTAAAAATTCCCGGTTTTCCACTAAAAATTCCCGGTTTTCCACAAATCCCGGTTTTCCACCAAAAATTGCAGGTTTTCCACTAAAAATTCCAGGTTTTTCCACTAAAACTTACCGGTTTTTCCACCAAAAACTCCCGTTTTTTCCACTAAAAATTCCCGGTTTTCCACTAAAAACTCCCGGTTTTCCACCAAAAACTCCCGGTTTTCCACCAAAAATTACCGGTTTTCCACTAAAAATTCCCGGTTTTCCACAATCCCGGTTTTCCACCACAAATTCACGGTTTTCCAGTCTAAGTTCCCGGTTTTTCCACTAAAACTTGCCGGTTTTTCCACCAAAAACTCCCGGTTTTTCCACTAAAAATTCCCGGTTTTTCCACTAAAACCTACAGGTTTTCCACTAAAAATTCCAGGTTTTCCTCTAAAACTTGCAGGTTTTTCCACCAAAAAATACCGGTTTTCCACTAAAAATTCCCGGTTTTTCCACTAAAACTTCCCGGTTTTTCCACCAAAAACTACCGGTTTTTCCACTAAAAATTACCGGTTTTCCACCAAAAATTACCGGTTTTCCACCAAAAATTCCCGGTTTTCCACTAAAAACTCACGGTTTTCCACTAAAACTTCCCGGTTTTCCACTAAAAATTACCGGTTTTCCACAATCCCGGTTTTCCACGAAAAACTCACGGTTTTCCAGTCTAAATTCCCGGTTTTTCACTAAAACTTGCAGGTTTTTCCACAAAAAATTACCGGTTTTTCCACTAAAAATTCCCGGTTTTTCCACTAAAAATTACCGGTTTTCCACTAAAAATTCCCGGTTTTCCACTAACACTTGCCGGTTTTCCCACCAAAAAATCCCGGTTTTTCAACTAAAAATTCCCGGTTTTCCACCAAAATCTCCCGGTTTTCCACTAAAAATTCACGGTTTTTCCACTAAAACTTGCCAGTTTTTCCACCAAAAACTCCCGGTTTTTCCATTAAAAATTCCCGGTTTTTCCACTAAAAAACCCGGTTTTCCACCAAAAACTCCCGGTTTTCCACTAAAAAATCCCGGTTTTTCCACTAAAAAACCCAGGTTTTTCCACTAAAAACTCCCGGTTTTCCACCGAAATTTTCCGGTTTTCCACCAAAATTTGCCGGTTGCTCGGGGGGCCTACTCTGGGCTGGCTTTAGGGTTTAGGGCCTACTCTGGGCAGGCTTTAGGGTTTAGGGCCTACTCGGTACTGGCTTTAGGGTTTAGGGCCTACTCTGGGCTAGCTTAGGGTTTAGGGCCTAGTCTGGGCTAGCTTCTGGGCTAGCTTTAGGGTTTAGGGCCTACTCTGGGCTGGCTTTAGGGTTTAGGGCCTACGCGGGGCTGGTTTTATTGAGGTTAGGCCCTGCTCTGGGCTGCCTTTTGGGTGTAGGGCCCACCCTGGGCGGCAGCCGACTGAACCAAAAATTTTAAGATTAAAACATAAAGTAAAATATTTTCATAATGTTATGGGATCCGATGGGTGGGTGGGTCGATATTCGATACCGGAGTAAGGAGCTCTACTAGTGAAACGCTTGGACTTGAGATGCTGAACCCTAAACCCTAAACCCTAAACCCTAAACCCTAAACCCTAAACCCTAAACCCTAAACCCTAAACCCTAAACCCTAAACCCTAAACCATAAACCCTAAACCCTAAGCCCTTAATCCCAAGCCTCTTACAAGAGGTCTACGAGGCCATCTTCCTGCCGAGTGGCGTGTCCACCGCCGCGTTTCTCGTCCCAGCCAGCCAGGACACGACCAACCCCAAACCCTAAGCACTGGTTTAGGTTTAGGGTTCAGGGTTACAAGTAAGGTTTTGAGTGCCCTAAATAGGGCAGGGTCATAAGTAAGGGTATGAGTACCCTGAGTAGGGTTATGTATTCCTACCCATGAACCTTCAAGCAAGCACCAGGACCCTGAACACCTTACTCCCCAAGCCCTAAACCCGAAACCCTAAACTCGAAACCCTAAACCCGAAACCATCCCAAGGTCGGGTTCTAAGCGTTAAACCCGCCAGCCCCACAACCAAGGCCGAGGGGCTTCAGAGTTCAGGGCTTAGACCCCCAGACTCCCAAATCCGGCCCTACACCCCTGAAGCCCGACGACCTAAACCCTACGACCCCGCAACCCAGAACCCTAAACTTTCAGGGTTTTGGTGTCTCGCACCCCAGGCTTAGGGCTTCAGGGCTTAAAGCCCTTGCCGGGCACTTAAACTCCAAAGCCCCAAAGCTCTAAACTCTAAACCCTGAGCCCCTAAACCCCCAAGTCGAAACCTGCAACGGACCCTGTATATTTATATCTACATATGCATGCATGCGTGCATGCGTGCGTGCATGCATGCATGCATGCATGTATGCATGCATGTATGTATGTATGTATGTATGTATGTATGAATGCATGCATCTACGTCTATATGTATACGCATATAATTCTACATATGCATATGTATATATATATATACACACGCATTTGTGCTTCCATCCTTATCTATACCTGCACTCGTATCTATGTCCCCTCCCGTCCCCAAAACAAGCAAGCTCGAACGTGATAGCTGAAAATCTATAGCTAAGCCGCGTCTAGCCCCTGTCGCAACCCGCACATGAACCTCCAAAGCAAGGTTTGTGCAGCTGATGCAGAAAAGCAGCCGACACATGGCCATGGAAGAGAAGAGGGCTTGCAGGTTCTGTTGGGATTGGGGCTCTTCCCGGCCATGTGCGCATCTCGCCATGGTGCCCTAAACCCTAAGCCCGAAAACCTTAAACACCAAAGCCCACCCTTGAAGCCCTAAAGCATGGCAGGCCCAAAGACCCTTCAATTCTGAGAGCAGCTCAGGGAAGCGCAAGGAAGCAGGCCAGCCCATTGTCAAAGCCGGCACTCCCTTTGGCAAGGCCCGGGTTTTGGGGTGTTCGGGGTGTTGGCGGTGTTCGGGGTGTTCGGGGTGTTCGGGGTATTCGGGGTGTTCGGGGTGTTCGGGGCTGGTGAGTTCGGGTTTAGGGCTTGGGGGTTTGGAAGCAGAATCGCTTTTTTCGCCCCTTTTTGGGGTAGGTAGCCCAAAGGCCACAATCCGGAGTCCCAAACTGAAGACCTTGAACCTTAAAGCCCAAACCTGAAGCCCGAAATCTCAAGTCCTGAAACCCTCAGCCCTGAAGGTGTAAATCTCGCCAAGCCGGAAGTGCAGCTCCCCCGACATCAACCCTAGCACTTTAAACCCTAAACCCGGATCCCTGATTCCTAAACCCAAACCCTAAACCCTAAACCCTAAACCCTGAACCCTGAACCCTGAACCCTGAACCCTAAACCCTGAACCCTGAACCCTAAACCCTAAACCCTAGTCCTTTAAACCCAAGCCATAAACCCGGTGACCCTGGGGGTCCACAGGCACCTCCGGGGCTGGGGTTTAGGGTTTAGGGTTTAGGGTTTAGGGTTTAGGGTTTAGGGTTTAGGGTTTAGGGTTTAGGGTTTAGGGTTTAGGGGTTAGGGTTCAGGGTTTAGGGTTTAGGGTTTAGGGTTTCGGGTTTCGAGGGCTAAAAGAGTTGATGGGGTTTGGGGGCATGTGGGGTTTATTGGGCTTACGGGTTGTTGGAAGAATTTCTTGTATGGCCCAAGGATATGAACCCTAACCCTAACCTGAAACCGTTAAGGATATTAAGGGGTGCAGGCGTTTTGAGGATGTAGAGAGCTTTCAGGCGAAGCCCAAAACCCCAAACCCACCTTAGGCTTCGGAGGTTTAGCGTTTTGGGTTTAGGGTTGGCTTTAGGGTTTAGGGTTTAGGGTTTAGGGTTTAGGGTTCAGCGTTTAGGGTTTAGGGTTTAGCGTTTAGGGCACCCTACAATCTGAAACCTCACCCAGAGAGGTGGCCCTGCTACTGCGGGGGGAGGCCGTGTCCTTGCGCCTTGGATGCCGGCGTTTGAAGGGATTAGGAGCTCAGGGTTTAGGGTTTTGCGGTTTAGGGTTTTAGGGTTTAGGGCTTAGGGTTTAGAGTTTAGGGCTATTTCTCCCCTAAAATAGGCCCCTAAAATAGTCGGATTCCCTTAGAATGGGGACCCCAATAGGGTATCCCCAATCTCGAAAAGCCACCACTTTGGAGTTCCGGGTTCAGGGTTGAGGGTTTGAGGGTTTGAGGGTTTTAGGGTTTTATGGTTTAGGGTTTTCAGGGTTTAGGATTTAGGGTTTAGGGTTAGAATGTTGAAGCTTGGACTGCTTCAGGGGGTTTGGGGCTTTAGGGCTTTTAGGGTTTCTTTTGATCGCACACATGCAGCTCAGTTCCTCAAAGAGGCCCCGAAGGCTCAAAGGACCATGTCGGAGGTTGTATGGTTTAGGGTTTAGGGTTTAGGGCTTGGGGTTTGGGGCTATTTCTGAGGTTGTACTCTAGGGGCCCCAAAGCCCGACCGGCCACCTCAGCCCCTTGCACGCTAGCCGTGCCCTGAGCCCGCAAGCCCCTTTCGGGCTCAGGGCTTGGGGCGAGTGAGTGTTTAGGGAAGTCAGCGCAAGATCCTCAGAGAGTCCTCGACATGACGTAGACCCCGAGCCCCTTTAAAGTTTAGGGCTTGGGGTTTAGGGTTTAGGGTTTAGGGTTTAGGGTTTAGGGTTTAGGGCTTAGGGCTTAGGGTCCTCAAGACGGCCCCCAGGCATGGCGGTCAGGCAGAGCAGAATCCTGAGGCCTCCCGGCTTAGGGTTTAGGGTTTAGGGTTTAGGGTTTAGGGTTTAGGGTTTAGGGTTTAGGGTTTAGGGTTTAGGGTTTAGGGTTTAGGGTTTAGGGTTTAGGGTTTAGGGTTTAAGGTTTAGGGTGCAGGCGCTCAACGGCGGGGTTCTTCTGGGCTTCCCGGCTTCCGGGCGTTTGGGGGCTTGGGGGACTCAGGGCATTCTTCAGAGCGGTCGGGGCTTGGTTGTTGTTTTTCTTTTTTTGTTTTTGCGTTTTTGGGGGCTTTTTGGGGGGTTTCGGGGGTTTTGTGTTCAGCTTCTTCATGCCCTTGTTTGCAGGGCTGGCTGCGCCCCCCCCTCTCAAAGAACTACTTTGGTTCATGGTACTTCTTAACAAAGTATAAGCCTACTTATAACCCACTGATAAGCCCCTTGAGTGCCCTAATGAACTAGGGCAACTTTTGTTACAATTACTTCTAGCCCCACTTAGGGTACCTAAAACCCTACTTACTAAGTCCCATGATCCTCCAGGTATAGGGTTGGTATTCTCACCCGAAACATGCCCCCCGCACCGAAAAACCCTCAAGCGCCAAGGCAAGATGAGCGGTAGAATGTAGGGGGTCGGAATATTTACTACCAATATCGCCTTATGGTCCCTTCGTTCTTATACTATAATAACCCCCCCCAAACCCCTGCTCTAATTATTAAGGCACCTATATGAAATGGGCAGAAATGAGACTTTGCAGGGACACTTGTAATTCGCCATCTGAGAAATGTTCGGTGCACCAGACAATGATAGGTCTAACGTTCATGCCGTGGTCATACCAAATCTGCAGCGAGCATTGGGCTTTTTTGAAGATCTGTGGGCGCGCGTGCGGGGGTGTCTGGGGGTGTGCAGTACATTCACTCGCTTCGCTGCGTCAGCTCAGTTTCCAAGCTGAGCCCAAACCGTGACCACAACCCTGAACCCCAACCGTACACCCGAAACCCTAAACCTAAACCCTAAACCCTGAACCCCTAACCCTAAACCCTAAACCCTAAACCCTAAACCCTAAACCCTAAACCCTAAACCCTAAACCCTAAACCCTAAACCCTAAACCCTAAACCCCAAACCCCAAACCCCAAACCCCAAACCCTAAACCGTTTCGGGTTGCTCTTGTTCATTGATCGCATGGGGCCACCTTTAGGCCCTGAAGCCCCAAAACTCCCAAGCCCTGGCGTCCCTCGCGAGGGAGACACGCTGCCAGTCCGGCAGAAGGGTGAAGTGACCCATCGCTACATGGGGCGTCTCGAGGCAAGGGTTCAGGGTTCAAGGTTTGGGGTTTGGGGTTTGGGGTTGGGGTTTGGGGTTTGGGGTTTGGGGTTTGGGGTTTGGGGTTTAGGGTTTAGGGCTACGGCGAATTGGAGGGCTTACCTGGTAAGTCAGTTCTGGAATCACCTCCCCCCAGTATTAAAAGTGCCCTGCCGTGTTTGTTATGTTAAGTTTACCCTAAACCCTAAACCCTAAACCCTATACCCTAAACCCTAAACCCTAAACCCTAAACCCTAAACCCTAAACCCTAAACCCTAAACCCTAAACCCTAAAACCCTAAACCCTGAACCCTAAGCTACTCTCTCGTGTCTCAATACGTTTCTGGGAAGGCCTCAAAGCCAACTGTACAGCCTGCAGCTTTCAGCTCGACATCGCCCTAGAAGCCCCAGATCCGCAACACCATATGTGTATGCATGTATATATATATATGTATGTATGTATATATATATATGTATATATATACACATAAGTGGATACAAAACAAGTGTATCTACACATATACATATATATATATATATACACATACATATGTTAATGAACCTCGGAAGCAAATATATAATATACAAATAAGATATACATATACGAATAGAATTAAGTAAGCAAATCACTAAATAGCAAATACATAAAGATGTGTATACACACACATATACAAGTACTGTGTTTTCTCCGAGATGTGGGGGGTTGGGGGCGGGTTTCGGGCGGAAAGCAGGAATCAGGGAAGGTTTGGGGTTAAGGGTTTGGGGTTTGGGGCTTTGGGGAGAGCTTTTTCCTTTGACTTCCCAGAGACTCCAAAACCCCTTGATTAAGGAATATACCTTAAATTATCATAGGAACCCTAATATGATTTAAGGTATATTCCTTACTTAAGGGGTTTTGGAGTCTCTGGGTTCGTTGTGCATGCTTCAGCCTGCTCAGAGATGGGCCTCGTTGCTCCTTTTTTTGGGTCATGGAAGCTCGAAGGATAACCCTCCGCCCCAAACAGGGCATGCGCAACGCCGTCTCGCACACCCGAAGAGAAGTACCGAACTGTCCCCGCGAGCCCTGTCCTCTACTTTTTTCTTAAGAACCCCAAAAGAATGAAAAAATCAACCCCTATATTACCCTTATCAAGAAGAATATTGATGATTATTTTTGGGGGGGGGATTCTTAAGCAATTACTAGTCCTTGTTTGCTCAAGGAAGAGTAGCGGTTGCCCTGCCCGCTCTTTCTATTTCGTGTAAATGCTCACGCCCCAAGCGAAATAGAAGAGAGAGAGGCTGGCCTGGACTTCCCTTTGCGGGTTTAGGGTTTAGGGTTTAGGGTTAGGGTTTAGGGTTTAGGGTCTAGGGTTTAGAGTTTAGGGTTTTGTACATCTTCAATCTCGAGACCACTTAACTGGTCTTCGGCATTTGTCTATTCAGCTTTCCCGCGAAGGCACGCATCACTTGGTACTTTGCTGTCGATTGAGACAGAATAGGCAAAACGAAGCGACAAGGTGAAGCGGTCTAGGGTTTAGGGGTTTGACGTCTTAAACTGTATCGTGGGGCTGAGGGGTTTCCGCAGAATCGAAGGGAAGTGGGCCCAATGCACTTCCTGTTTATTGTGTCGGGCTTGGGGTTTCGGGCGTTTTCGGATTAAACCTTGACCCTCAACCCTGACACCGAAGCCCTAAATACTACATAGGCGGTCAAGGTAGATCTCTAATCCAAACCCGTAGAAAGCCCATCTCGTACCAGGTGTCTTGTCAGACACTTGCGTAAACCCTGGACCCTAAACACTAAATCACCCTGAGCCCTTAACCCTAAATCTAAACCTGAAGCCCCCTAAACCCGAAGCCGAATCACTGGGAGTCTTCCTCAACAAGCATCCGCTGCAGAACCCCCAAATCGTTGGGTCTCGTCTAGGATGCCCAGTAGTGCCTTTATTCCCTTTTTGGGGGGCTTTAGGTTCCCTTATAAACCCCTTTAAGCACAAAAGGGCACCCTTTTTAAGACTTGGTTACTGGGCAGCCTAGTCGTAGGGTTCTTTCCAGCGTAATTCTAGCTGCCTTGGCCCTGCACCTTCGAGTGCAGGGGACGCCCCTGAACATTTTTCATATTCGTCTTCAGAAGATTTAGGGTTTAGGGTTTAGGGTTTAGGGTTTAGGCTATATAGATTTATTAACTCTGTTATCATGGTGTTCCGATGCAAACGTTCTGCGAACGTTCTCTGATCGTTCGTGATTTTTAGTAGATACTTATATAAAATCAATATGTAAATAACTCAATGAAAACATAGCTCAGTTGGTAGAGTAGTGGCCTAAGAAACCAGAGGTCCCAGGTTCAAGCCCCGGTATAAACTAGTTAAACATACATGAACATTCACAGAACGTTCTACGAACGTTCCATTTAGGGTTTAGGGTTTAGGGTTTAGGCTTTTATCAGCCTTGCAATGTTGTGCATCCAATGGATGACTACTGCTAGCGAAGTGGCTCGCATGGAACTGCAGGACGTGCCGTGCTCAACTCGAACTGAGAACGCGTCCGTGTGCCATGTGCGCGATCTGAAGCTCCATCTCCAAAAGGTGTGCGGACATTCCCGGTTTCGGCAGAGACTCCTGCAAGAAGATGGGCAGATACTGCCTGACGAGGCAGTTCTAGATGCGCCACGCCGATTGCAGCTAGTGTTGTTAGGCTTTGCAGAGACTTCTGCCGATGATATAGACAAGCTGCTCCAAGCAGTAAGAGCAAATGACACGAGTCAAATAGAAAACATCTTGCAACGTCCCCAAGACCCAGGCCTGGCGAATTCCCAAGGCTTCGCAGCCTTGCACGCAGCAGCCCACTTTGGCAACGAAGTTGCCGTTCTGCGCCTGCTTGAGGCTGGCGCAGACAAGGACCAAACCGAAATGAATGGAGCAACACCTCTTGTTGTCGCATCTCAGAATGGCCACTTGGAAGTGGCACGATTGCTCCTTGAAGCTGGCGCAGGCAAGGATGCAGCCGACACAAATGGAGCAACACCTCTTCTTGTCGCATCTCAGAATGGCCACTTGGAAGTGGCACGATTGCTCCTTGAAGCTGGCGCAGGCAAGGATGCAGCCGACACGCATGGAGCAACACCTCTTCTTGTCGCATCTGCGCAAGGCCACTTGGAAGTGGCACGTTTGCTCTTGGAAGCTGGCGCAGGCAAGGATGCAGCCACAACACATGGAGTAACACCTCTTCTTGTCGCATCTGCGCAAGGCCACTTGGAAGTGGCACGATTGCTCCTTGAAGCTGGCGCAGGCAAGGATGCAGCCACAACACATGGAGCAACATCTCTTCTTGTCGCATCTGCGCAAGGCCACTTGGAAGTGGCACGATTGCTCCTTGAAGCTGGCGCAGGCAAGGATGCAGCCACAACACATGGAGCAACATCTCTTCTTGTCGCATCTCAGAATGGCCACTTGGAAGTGGCACGTTTGCTCTTGGAAGCTGGCGCAGGCAAGGATGCAGCCGACGCACATGGAGCAACACCTCTTGTTGTCGCATCTAAGAATGGCCACTTGGAAGTGGCCCGTTTGCTCCTTGAAGCTGACGCTGACAAGGATGCAGCCGACACGCGTGCAAGCAATCGGCAAACACAGATGGAGTAACCCGTCTTCATATCGCATGTCAGAACGGGTACTACTTGGCAGTTGCACATTTACCTCTTGAGGCTGGTTGGCGCAGGGGGTTGCAGAGGCATGGCAGTGCCACGATTGCGCTGCTTGATGCTGCAGACACAAAGAGAACGGGTGCCGCGTGGTGTGGTTACTGACCCGACTGACAACTAGCTGCTAGCTTCAATGCAAAAACCATTGTCGTGGTCTTAGCTGTCCCCGAAAATGATCGGGCTGATCTCCTTCTCTTACCCAGACCCTGCCCCCCTAAACCCTAAACCCTAAATCCTAATCTCCCTGCCCTGGCACTGCTTGAATCATCGGAGCTTGTGGGAGTGTAACGACCCGAGGAGGCTTAAGGCTCAGGGCTCAAAAGTCTATCGGTTTAGGGTTTAGGGTTTAGGGTTTAGGGTTTAGGGTTTAGGGTTTAGGGTTTAGGGGTTTATGCAAACAACTGCAATGTTGCGCAGATTATCGCAGCGTTCCCCCGTGCCCAGCAACTCGAGCGACCCACCCACCATGCGCCCAACATCCCTTAAAGGGTCTAGGGTTTAGGGTTTAGGGTTTAGGGTTTAGGGTTTAGGGTTTAAAGCCCAAAGCCTCCAATCCTTAAGCCCAAAGCCCTGAAAACCTTTCAGCCCTAAACCCCAACGCCCTCAAGTCCCTAAACCCTAAACCCTAAACCCTAAACCCTAAACCCTAAACCCTAAGCCCTAAACCCTAAACCCTAAACCCTAAACCCTAAACCCTAAACCCTAAACCCTAAACCCTAAACCCTAAACCCTACGGGATTCTCCGCGGCCCATGGAGAGGCTTCCGAGTCCAACTTCCCGGCCCTCAGCAATGTCACCTGCAGGGGATCCGTGGTGTGGCTCGCCGACTGGGAGTCGGTGGGGTGTTCGGGTTTAGGGTTTAGGGTTTAGGGTTGAGGGTTGAGGGTTGAGGGTTGAGGGTTGAGGGTTTAGGGTTTAGGGTTTAGGGTCTAGGGTTTAGGGTTTAGGATTTCTTTTGCGAATTGCTTAAGAACCCCCCCAACCCCCCCCCCCCCCCCCCCCCCCCAAATAAAATAAGATAACAATCCCAAATACGGCCCTTACAAGGAAGAGCCTTGTGGATTTTGTGACGCAGTTCGTGGTTTTTGGGGGTGCTGCATTGGGTTTTCACAGGTTAGACAGCTGGCATTCACGGAAGGCTCGCGCGGAAGGTCGGCACGCTTGAAACGTAGATATAATGGACGCGCAGCATGCCGGCAAGCTGAAGAATCGCGCCCCCAAGCTGTTTCGGAGAGCGGATCTCCGCGGAAGTCTGCGGAAGCTCCCCGGAAGGCAGAGGGTGGTTTGGAAGCCCCCATGTCCCGACCCCCTCGTTAAACCCTTAACCCCTAACCCTTGACCCTTACCCCCAAGGCCCCTGACCCTCAACCCTGAAGCTTAAGTGGTATATACTCAGGTTGCTGATTTCTGTTTCGGTTGAGAAGGTGGCGTCGCGTGTTTCCGCGAAAGGTCGCGGAAGGAATGCGGAATACACCGTGGAAGGCCGCGGAAGGGTCCGCGGAAGGGGTATATTATACTGTCCATCGACTCATGCTTGAGAAAAAGCACAGTTGTAATTGGGTTACTAGGTACCATGAACCTCCAAGTACCCTTTTTGGGGGCCCCTTTTGGGGATTCTATCTATTTGGGGCAGAAAAAGGGGTACCCCAATATGTGGGAAATACCCGTACGTTCAACCCTAAGCCCTCAAAGCTTAATCCCCAAATGCCCCAAGCTTCGCAGCGTTGCATGAGACAAGGTTTTGGGCAGGTTTTGGTTTGTTTCTTTGTTTCCTTTTTTTGGTTGGGGGGGGGGGGTTGTAGGGCGTTTGGATACAAGGGGGCGCTTGTATCTTGAGACGGCACATGCCAGTGAAAACGCACCCTAAACCCTAAACCCCTCAATCCCCTAAAGCCTAAACCCTAAACCCCGAAACCCTAAACCCAAACCCTAAACCCTGAACCCTAGACCTTAAACCCCTCAACCCCTCAACCCTAAACCTCGAAACCCTGAAACCCTAGACTCCTCAACCCTTCGAGTGTGGTCCCGGAAGTCCCTTGGGGCACTCCATGACCTAACCCAAGAGCCGCAAGGAACGGCACGGCCATCGCCCATCCGCCGCGGATCCAGGCTCCACGGGTTTTTGAGTTTGGGGTTTGGGGTCTAGGGCTGAGGGTTTAGGACTACAATGGGGGTAGGTTTTAGGGGTTTAGGGATTGGGCTTTTTATGGTGTAGAAT